TAAATCCATTAAAGCATTTAAATGGAGCAATTATTTACGTATTTTATTAATTAAGAAAATGTTTAGCAAATAAACATAAAATTGACATAATTCCAAGCAGGGCATTCAAGTTAGCGGCGTGTTGGTGGCGGTGTCGTTGGACATTTCCAACGCCTTCAACACGCTGCCCTGGGCGGCGGTGATGGGGGCACTGCAGCACTTCCGAGTTCCGGGTCACCTGTAAAGGCTGATCCGGGACTATTTTATCGGAAGGGCTGTCGTGTACCCCACCAGAGACGGCTGGGCCCGACGGGCCATGTCGTGCGGTGTTCCACAGGGATCGGTCTTAGGGCCGTTCCTGTGGAACATCGGCTACGACTGGGTGCTGCGCGGAGCCGTGATGCAGGGGGTTGGCCTAATCTGTTACGCCGACGACACACTCGTGACGGCCCGTGGCAGCACACACCGCGAGGCGATGGCCCGCGCCACGGCGGGGGTCGCCCAGGTGGTCCACCGTATCCGGAGGCTGGGGCTCGAGGTGGCTCTCAACAAGTCCGAGGCCCTGGCATTCCACGGGCATCGGCGAGGGCCGCCTCGAGGATTCCCAAATAACGGTGGCCGGGACACCCATCGCCATCGCAGGTACTATGAAGTACCTAGGACTAGTCCTCGATGGTTTGGCTCCGAAGCAGGTAGCCGCCGCAGGTGCTCTCGGAAGGGTCCTACCAAACCTGGGCGGCCCCGGAGGGGCATGCCGCCGCCTCTATATGGGGGTGGTAAGGTCGATGACGCTGTACGGGGCGCCAATATGGGCGGAATCCCTCAGCGCCCGTAATCACATCCTGCTGCGACGTCCGCAGCGGGTGATGGCGCTGAGGGTGGCTCGGGCGTACCGTACGGCGTCATACGAGGCGGCGTGCATGATCGCCGGTAGCCCGACGTGGGCGCTCGAGGCCGAGGTCCTCGCGGCGGTCTATCGGCGATCGAAGGACAGTGACCTCCGCCCACATCCGTTGGAGATCAAGCAGTGGAAGGAGGAGGCTCGCGACGACCTCTTCCGGAAGTGGGCGGAGGAGCTGAAGAAGAAGAATAATATCACAACTTATAATATATCTTAAACTTTTTTTGAACTAAGTAATAAAAAATAAACAGAGATTGTATACAAGTAATTTAAATTTCAACACAGGTACTTTACCCCAAAATGATGCCTCCTAAGCTCTTTCCAGTGTTATTGTATTTCTCCCGACGAGAGTGGCACTACTACTCCAGTTCTATCAGAAAATATGACCTATCAAATAAACAAACTGGAACAAATAAGCATTTATCAAAGTTGGTGTATTTTGTTGGTGAACTAAACAATAATGGTATTATTACGAAAGCAGTGAGCATTATGTTGCGTTCTTAAAATATGTTCGCTTTAGTCAGAAGATTAAATTAAAGTTGCAATTAACGAAATGGTTTTATTTTTCCTAAATTGTTTTCCCTCGAATAATACTTTCAAACGTCAAAAAGGAAACTGACAGATTGATTTTTTTTAGGTTGGTAGCAACGTAGACTTGTTCATAATATTGCTAGCATTGAAAATGACAATTTTTATTCTCCGTTTGTGTATCTAATTAGTCAAAAGTCCCGTCTCTTATTTATATACTCTTTGACGCCACACTAAAAGAAAAAAGGTGGATTTGCTGTACAATCTGCATACGGTTAAAGATTTACGTCAATTGACAGATAACAAATCATATGTCATTGCAATGACATTGACATTGACTATTTAAAAATTTCGCAAATAAAAACAAGTTTTATATTTAAAACCTTTAAAATTATTAATTATAGGTTTTAATAATGAACGCCCGACATTTATTTCGAATATGCACGAGGCAACCTTATTTTGCTACATTGGGGAGGCGAAATAAAGGATATAAAGTAGTGAAACGGCCTGATCCCAGTACGTTAAAAATGCCTGCTCCTGGTACTGCGCCAAGTTTAATGGAAATTATAAAAGAAAAACTTCGATTAAATGGGCCTCTAACAGTTGCGGAGTACATGCACATTGTTTCTACAAATCCTACTGAAGGTTATTATATGAAAAAGGATATAATAAGCCAAACCGGTGACTTCATAACTTCGCCGGAAATTAGCCAACTTTTTGGAGAGATTCTTGCAATTTGGTTCTACGCGGAAACTCAAAAAATGGGTTCCGGAAAACCACTTCAACTGGTTGAACTTGGGCCTGGCAATGGTACACTATTAGTGGATTTCTTAAGGGTAAGAAAACACATGTGGTTTAAGATCTTTATTTCTCCAAGAATTTACAAAATTCACTTACGAGAAACAATTTTACAAGAACATGAAAATTTACACACAAATTTACACATCATACTAGAAATTAGAAATCTTTAACAACTTGGTATATTATTTACGCATTATTGCAGACAAATTATCTGTATATCCAGTTCAAGTCATGTTTTTCCTCATCTCCTTTCTCTGTTTTAAGGTTATAAATCGGCTTGGCTATAAACCAGAGGACTTATCCCTACATCTTGTTGAAATATCCGAGACAATGCAAATATTACAAGCACAAAGGCTATGTATTACTCATAAAGCTACAAACATAGAGTCACCATACTATTATGAGGTAAGAATTATCTATATACTAGTATACTGGTAGCCCATACTAGGTTCCATGGTGGACATTAATTTTTATCTATTTATTTATGCCAATACTAGCCATCGCCCACCACTTTGTCCGTGTGAAATGAAAAAAACTTAATCAATTCCTGGTAGTTCAAATTTTTCTCTGCTTTAAAACCTTCCCTAGACCTGCACTAATATTTCAAGACCAAGATAAGACAAATCCGTTCTGCGGTTGTCGAGTTTTAGTGAGACAAACAAACAGCAATTAATTTTTATATAGGCCAATATTAAATATAGCCTATGAGAATGTAGCATATTAAGGAAAGCCTTTTAGGAATTAGTTCAGTAGTTTTGAGCTTATCATACTGGACTCTATAAAAAAAAAACTAAATTTGTGGTATTACACAATATTAACTCATGACTTATTGCTTAAATAGTATTAATATTTTTTCCCCAGGGTCAAACAATAAGTGGTATCAAAGTTTATTGGTATAATGACTTGAAGAAAGTACCAAATAACTTCTCATGGTACATGGCGCATGAGTTCTTTGATGTACTACCTGTACATAAGTTTGAAGTAAGTATAAAGGGTAATAAAACAAAAACATATTGTGCTTACTCTTTTGCCTTAGAAAAACAGAGAAGACCATATGTTTGAATTCATAAATTGTCTTTCCATATAAAATATCAACAGAAAACAGAAGATGGTTGGAGAGAACTTCTAATAGATATGGATGAGAATGGAAAATTATACTATCGCATATCAGGAAAAGAAACACAATCATCAAAAGTCCTTATCCGACCCCCACTGGACGCTGGGGATAGAACAGAGTTAGAAATAAGTGCAAGGAGTTTAGGAATAGCCAGACAGTTAGCACAACGAGTTGACCAATATGGTGGTTTAGTGTTGATAGCTGATTACGGACATGAAGGCGAGAAAGGTGATACATTTAGAGTAAGTACTCCAACAACATTGTATTTAAAGATATTTTCAGTGGAAATAACGTTAGAATGACAGTTTTTTTTATGAGGCATTTCATCATTAATAGAAAGCAGTTTGAAATATTCTTTAAGTGTCTAGTGTTGTAAAAATTTGATATTGAATGATATTCAAAATATAACACATACAAGTACACCCAACATCTCAACACCATATTAATCATGGTTTTTTTTTAATGAATAGTGAAACATTGGCTGAAATTTAAAACTGTAATTTGATAATTAGAATGTTTTCTTATATACTTCTAGGCATTTCACAAGCACAAAGTTGTAAATCCTTTAGAAAATCCTGGCGAATGTGACCTCACAGCTGATGTGGACTTCAGTCAACTCAGGATAGCGGCATCCAAGACTCCGGGTGATGAAAACTATGCCATTGTTGCTGGACCTGTGAAACAGAAGGACTTTCTTGAAAGATTACAGGCGAAGGCTAGGTTACAGGTGAATTATTTTGACTAAATTATAAACTAAAATATAGTGAGCATATTTTATACTGTGGACAATTATTTTTGTATTTGAAACCGGGATTTGTTGTAGAAAGAGGTAAAATGGAATTAGCTTCATAAATAAATATTCATAAACAACCCGCTAGTATTTCAGATGTTTCCATATTTTCATGTAGTTCAGCAATAGGCGAAAATTTTAATAAACATATGATTTAAGATAATAATTTTTATTTTGCTTTTAGGTTTTAATGGATAATGCCAAAACCGAGGAAGAGAAAGAAAAGATTAAAAGCGCATACGAAATGCTCGTGGATCCAAAGAAAATGGGTGAAAGGTTCAAATTCTTGGCTTTTTACCCTTCGACCATGGGACCTATCTTAGAAAAGTTTCCGCCTCTAGGATTTGTTAATGACAATGAAAATGCTACCGAAAAATAGTCCTACTTTAGTAACAATTGATTAAAATGTTTTTTAGTTTATAGGTAATAAATATATCTATTATAAAATTTTTGTCTTTTATTTTCTATTTTTAATCGATATTGTGGAACATGAATTTGAAAACAATACTAGATAAGTTTCAATACGTTGAATACAAGAGAAAGAATATTTTTCACAAACTAATTTTCCACAAAGGATAACTTTATTTTTCCTTTTTATCAAGAAATTCCATATACTTTAAAAACATAAATTATATTAATTTAATATCATATCACTTAAATCCTTTAAAAGTATTAATATTTTTACAAAAAAATATTGAGTCATAATGTTTTGTTATTGATTTCTTGTGTGAATAGAAAAGTATTTTGTGGCAACACTTTTTACAGAGAAGTCGATTGTCCGTCTCGTCTCACCGTCGATTAATTTGCATATTTTTATTTTCGAGGTGTTAAATCATTTAAAAATAGTATTAAAATTTTTGTTCGTAATTCTCAGACGTTTAAATAGTTATTAAAACATGTGGAACATTTTCTAAAACGGTAATAATATTATCACGTTGTGATGGAGCTAAATGTCAAAAAATTCAGTGGATTCGTGCCAATGGTTAAGAAATTGTAGCTGATGGGAAAATTTGTTATTTGTGCGTTTTATTGAAAACTGATGATATTTGAGACATTAAATGCAGTGTTATATTACTTAGATTTTCTTCGGAAGCGGTCTGCATCGTAATTTACCAATCCAATAGGATTGGATGATTTTACAATTTTGAAAGAGCGAAGGTAAAGATATTTTCTTTTGTTACGTTATAGTGTAATTCCGTCACTCGTGCAATGACTTTAATATGAAGTGTGACTTTAAAAATCCTTTTTCATAACAATATTTATTTTAAAATGTAAATTTACTACTGCACATCATAAGTTGTTTCATTCCTTTATAACGATACGTCTAATTATTACGCAAATTGTTGAGATAAAGAAAATCATATTTTTTTCTTAGATTAAAAACTGTTAATCTTATTTTAATTTTTTGTTTAAGTATTATTCGATCAATAAGATATTGTTATTTTTTTTTTTTTACTTTTCCTCAAAAGTATGCATAAATAGCTTATTTATTACTCCTTTTTACAATTTAAGCATGAGATAATAGTGTATTTATGCATAAATAAACACAAACACGTAAGCAGGTCAACAGATGTTACTTGTATAAATATAAAGTTAGGTTTTATCTAAGATTCTTAACTAAAAACATAAAATAACAGTTGATGCCTCATATCAATAATTTTCTCAACAAAATATGTCACTGTATATATTTATTCAAGTGCTTCTTACAGAAAATTACTACAATAATATGTAAATTGTCATATGAGTAATGTAAAATATATATGTATTTTTTCATATGTCTTGGCTATGGTTTTGTAAAATATCATCTACAGTAAAACTTTCTCCATTCTATTATAACTATATTTTTCAAGCAATGTCTTATTTTATTGCAAGTCATATTTACTCCACAAACTGCTAATATGTATGCATTTAAAAATAAAAAACAAACCTAATCTCTAGTTATTGAAGTCACAATTATCATGTCCTAATAAATTCAAGGACTTCCAAATTATGCTGATTTAATTGTTGTGCAAATGTCAAATAAAACAAAGCAAGAACACGACAAATAACATGAATTGACCTCACATCTACAATAATACCAAACAGATGATTAAATAGATAAGAAACGATAGCTGTGTTAAAGTTCAAAGAATTTAAGTTTGTCTACGGACATTGACTGCCTGACCCACTGGTTATTTCTGATAGGTATTCACTACAATATATTTATAATTTTTTTGTTTTGTTGTTCCAACTCTAATCAGAAACAAGAGAGTAGACCAAGATTATGAATACTTTCTAGGATATGATCTCACTTTTTCCGCATCTACTTTCTTCATTTTCTTTTTTTTTTATTCAATGACTTATTTTATAAAAACAAAGTTTAGTAACTAGACTTGAGTAATGCTGTACTTTCTAACTTTAATTTATCTTTCTAAATACTATTAAGATAATTAACACAAATCCGTTTCTTAATATGTTACCAGCACTAAAACTATTCACTGCAATTAAAATTAAAGCAAACTAAAATGCAAAACAAAATGTATGATGCAATCAGTTGTTTCAAAATGATAAGATTTTCCTAATTGTTCCAGTTTGGCGATAAGTTCGCGTTCACAATGAGTTCTCTGCCGCCGGTGGAGCTCGAGGTGGAGGTGGTGGACGACTCCATGGAGGAAGATGCCACCGATATGATCCCTGCTGACAGGTACAGTCACTAACACAAGTACTATGTCACAGCATTCATACTTTTGATTGAAATGCTATAAAGCTTGTTTTTTTTCATATTATAAGGCAAAGTAAGTGGCCATCTGAGTTGGTGAAGTATATACATGCGTTATGTACCTTTTAACTGATGTTGCATAGAAAGAGAATATTTCCACTTCCTATGCATCCCCTTCCTTATCTATGTGATGAAATATTTCGAAACTTTGTTCCGGATGTGTAATCTACTATTATTTATTTGTCAATAAAATGGCAAGTAAAATTGAATTTTATCAGCCATTTCTGTTAAAAGTTTCGCTCGATTTGCGACAACCTTCATCTGAATTAACTGATAACTTTGAAGTTTAGGTGCCATTACTTGTAGTACTAAAGAAACTGAATTACGAGTGGTAGTTACACTCCAACTCAATGGTGATTTAACTAGTCATTCTGATTGCAGGCAGATATCGGAGACTGTTTTTTTGTTGCTGTTTAAGTAAACTTTTGGGAATTTCATGATTGTTTCGCAATTGAATATTTCTTAAGAGTGTTATAAACGTCTTTTCTTCAAGCACATCAATAGATAAATTAGCCTGTTGAATCTCATTAACTTTGTCAAAACGGATATAGTATGAATTTAAATGTTTAAATTCATTAGCAAGGTGATCTGTTGCTTTTTAAAAGCTTCCTAATACCAACTGCAGTTAAGTGGAAGATTTGGTACATAATGCATAATGCATTTATATACATTGACATAATGGAAATTTATGTATTTGCATATGTTTCCTTATTTTACAATACATATATGGGTATACTATCTTAAAAACTGATTATTTGAATTTATATTTTGCAGTATATTATGGAGCATCGGTGGCTCACGGGTCAAGCACTTGACTTGCAATCTGCAGGTCCTGGGTTCGAATCCCGCCATGTACCAATATGTTTTTCGATTTCCGATTTACATATGTACATTTATCCGACATTCTTACGGTGAAGGAAAACATCGTGATGCAACCTGCACATATCTAAGGAGTAATTCAAAGATATGAAGGAAGTCAACCAACCCGCACTTGGCCAGCGTGGTTGACTATGGCCTAATCACCCTTAACTTAGGGTAGGCTCCGAGCCCCTCGGTGGGGACGTATAGTGAGCTGATGATGATGATGATGAGTATATTATGGTTGCAAATCTTAGCTTTAATATATTTCATAACAACGTCAAATCAATATGCATTAGATGCTGCTTCAATAATTTATCTTACTAATATTATAAATGCGAATGTTTGGATGAATGGATGTTAGAAGGTATCTCCAGAACGACTGCATGGATCTCGCTGAAATTTGGCATAGATGTAGAACATAGTCTGGAAGAACACATAGGCTAATGATTAAGTTTTTCCAATACCGCGCTGACGGAGTCGCCGACAACAGCTGGTTCATTATAAATGTAGATGTTTATATCGTTCAAGTCTTAACTTTTTTTTTGGCGTTTCAAATATTGTGTTACATTTTTGTAAGATCATCGTTATTGTCTCTCAAACATTGTAAGAAATTACTATAAATTTTAATACAGGTTACTCAGTAAATAAAGGTCTTTACAGACAGACGGACGGACAACAAAGTGATCGTATAAGGGTCCCGTTTTTTTCCATTATAGGTACGGAACCCTAAAAACTGAACTACGTAGTAACGCGCATGCGTGTCTTTGTGACCCGGTCATATTCAATATTTATTGATTAAACCTGTTGCTACATATCTCTTAACTACCGGTAAATTGATAATTATAATATTTTTACGAGATTTCTTATGATTAGCTACCGGATTTTTCCACCGATTAAACTCGCGTACAATAACATGATGTATGCGACTGTTTAAACAGAGGAAACCCAAAGGTATACTACCGGCTGCGTCGATAAGAGGAGTTGTTAAAGACTAGCTGTCGCCGGCGACTCCGCCCACGTGGAATTAAAACTTAGTAGCCTATGTTCTTCTAGACTATTTTTAAATCTGTACCTAATATCAGCGAGATTCATGCAGACGTTCTGCAGATAACTTCTACCAAACATCCATCCATCCAACCCCTCGTATTTTTAATATTAGTAAGATGTGGTAATCTATAGTGAAATACTTGAAGAAAATTGTTTTAGTCTCCGCTCTTTTTAGACTACACGCTACCAATGAGAAATCTAAACTTATGCTTATGGGATGATCTCATCATCATCATCATCATCATCATCAGCTCACTATACGTCCCCACAGAGGCGCTCGGAGCCTACCCTAAGTTAAGGGTGATTAGACCATAGTCAACCACGCTGGCCAAGTGCGGGTTGGTTGACTTCACACATATCTTTGAATTACTTCTCAGATATATGCAGGTTGCATCACGATGTTTTCCTTCACCGTAAGAACGTCGGATAAATGTACATATGTAAATCGGAAATCGAAAAACACATTGGTACATGGCGGGATTTGAACCCAGGACCTGCAGATTGCAAGTCAAGTGCTTGACCCCTGAGCCACCGACGCTCTTTCTGGGATGATCTATTAAGGTTTATTGACAAAGCGTACTTTTTTTCTCAAAGGCTGGTTACACATATGCTGTTCCTTTAGTGTTCCAGATGTCCATAGATGTTGTTGGTCACCTCTTCGGCCGATCGTTTGCCCCCTTGCTCTTTTAAAAAAACAAAAGATGCGCAGTACGTGACACTGTCGGACAAAGGATCATTACACTTTATCCTGATAGCCCTTATCATTAGCCTTAAAGAAAAAGCAATAACATAAGCCACTTATTCTACGCAGTTTTTACTCACAACAACAACACAATATTTTTATTTTAAAGCTTGAAGTGTGAAATAAAAAATAAAAATAAATTTATGTTCGCGATTGTACAGTTTTAAAAAATGTACATTTACGCACAATGTAGTTTTAGAATATTAAAAAGCTAAGAAGTCTTGTTATGAAGTGAAGTTTCCATACAAATTATGATACTAAAAGAATTGTTTAAAGTACTATGCTGTAGACCAGATGATATGTCAAAATTCCTTTACCATAGTGATGTGCTAGAGGAATTCAAAATGTAAGTTGTTTTGTTTCTTTTTACAGAAAAATGGCCAGTATTTTATTATTATTTATAAGGTTTAAAACAACTGTCAACGTCAGTTGATGGCAGATTTTTTTCGTAATTCTTGAATGGATTTGTGCTTATTGCATTTATGCACAATAAATAAGTGTTTAATCTATATTGAAACTGCACTGATTCAATACTATAAGTTATATATATAAGCTGGCTAACCTTGGCGAAACGGTAAAAGTAAAGTTTATTACACATTTGTGACTATTTATATTTTATGAAGTGATACAAAGTTTTGTCGGTTCATTTACCCAACGTATATTTTTACTGTCGAAACATGTTTAAGACATATTATCATCCCTTTCATTATTTTTGAATAAAACAGAGATAGCGAATATATTGTTGTGTATTTTATTCAAGTGTTTCGGCAATGGGATCAAACGTAATAAACACCTCAAATTGTATTTTTCGTTATTGTCCGTCTCGGGATCTAATTTTTTTTTAATTTAAATTTTCCTCAATATCCGCTGCCCTAATTTTGTGTACACATTTTTTTTTTAAATTTCGTTCTGACTCAAACCAGCCTGTTAAAATTACTGACAGACATTGTCTATAGTTAGTTCGAATCCTCACCACTGACGGCAACGGCTTCGGTCAGCGCAAAAATGGCGAATATCAAATAGGCACAAAATATCACGGCTTATAGCCAGTTCATGTCAAGTCAGTGATGTTACGTCTGAAAGTTTTATTGTTTGACTTACAAAAAGGTTCTATAGCACAAGGCTAAATATTCACTTATTACTATAAATAGGATTGATAACGGGAGTGCGGAAATAGATTATCTTTGAAGAGTGGATAGATAGCTGTTAACTATTTCTGGTATATTTGTAAAATAAAATCTACATAAGATTATGTATATTTTTAACCTTTAAATTCAGTAATCACTCTTACGCTAACATTTGAAAACAGGATTGTAGATTTTGAGTTTTGAAAATATGCATGATTGGAGATGAAATATCACAATCAAAGGCTTCAAGGAGACTAATATTACCATACAGTGCAGTAGTTACATGTTAGTTAAATTAATTAATAGCTTAACCAGGAAAATAGAAAATCTACTATGAAGCGTGTCAATTGTTTCGTTCTGTCAACTTCAATGAGTACAAATTTTTTTTCAATATTTTTCCGCAATAGTTGTTTTATGTTTCTGGTCAGGCCATATTCAATTTAAACAAAGCCAGAACAATAATAGTTCGTTGTAATACCAAAAGTGATTTTTGACATCCCTAGTTGAAATATATTTCCGCAATTCAAACGTGTTTTTCAAATAACACGATTTGCATACACTTTTCAATCATGTAGTAGTAGATTGATTTTTAATTTATGGCTTTTAAATTTTGTAATAAAAGAAACGTACTATTATGTTCGTTATATTGTAAACTATTAAAACAAAGACGAAATTATCTATATCTAATCTATCTAACGGCAGTTGTTGATGTTATCATTATAATGCAAAATAATGCAATTAAAAATCAATTGACTCATCATTTATTATTGTATTTATATCATTTATTGACAATCAATCGGTAATTTTAATGCAAACATGATTACTCAAACGTCTCATCACGTGCCTCGTCTCAAAATATGCGACTTAATTGGCAAAGTATAACAACGGCCTTCTATCACACCGTAACGTAATCAAATTAGTACATGTGTATGTTTCATATTGGTGTCTATCCGAAATGTATAAGTTCTAGCTGTCACCTGCGACACAGTCCACGCGAAATTAAAAAAAAAAACTTAACAAGTAGCCTATGTGTTCTTCCAGACTATGTCGGTTCGGAGATATTCATCCATACATGCATCTAAACTTTTTTTAACGCATTTATATTAATAATCTCACGGTGAAGCATATTTACACAACCGAAATAAACTCCAAATGGACAATTTCTAAACATGTTATAAATAAATATTACGTGTATAAAAATCAGGGTCAGTTTTATGACTAACGAGTATTAAATGTAACTGTATTTCGCCTGAAGCCGGCCAATGAAAAGGACAGAAATAATAGGTACCTACGTAAATGCATTAGTTGCTGGTCTAGAACTGTCCCCCTAGACAAAGAGCATTCACACCGAAGCGATTCCATAACGAACTTCAAAAATGTATAGAACTGACAATAACTTTCGATACGTCAGGTAATTGTCTCTTCTATACATTTTTGAAGTTCGTTATGGAATCGTTTCGGAGCGAATGCGCTTTGTCTAGGACGCTGAACGCTCATGTCATTGGAATTACATTACGGTGTGATTATAAACGAAATCTGAATGTCGTTCACTGCCGTGCCAAGGTCCGAGAGCTGCGATGCGCTGACTCGCCCTTACTTGGTGTTCTGCCAGCTTCCGACATTTATTCATTACATAACTTATTTGTTACACACGGAACGGTGGCTCAGGGGTATAAGCACTTGACTAGTAATCTGCAGGTCTTGGGTTCGAATCCCTCCATTTACCAATGTGTTTTTCGATTTACATATGTACAATTATCCGTTGTTCTTATGGTGAAGGAAAACATCGTGATGCAACCTGCAACATATCTGAGAAGGAATTCAATAATATGTATGAAGTTAACCCGCACTTAGGGTAGGCTCTGAATCCCCCCGGAGGGGACGTATAATGATCTGATGATGATGATGATGATAATTTATTTATCAATATTGCTTACACATATGAGAACAGTTTAAAATATACACTTCTCTATTGATACCAACGACAATCCGCTGAATAACATAGAGTAATAACAATTAGTAGTTCTGTGAAGATTACTGTAAACGATGTAAGCGCCTTCAAAGCTAAATATTTTGGGCGTCTCAACTTTTTCAAAAGGTAATGAACTCGAGGATATCAGAACCTCATTCCGGGATGTTATTTTTAGTTTTTAAATTACCGAATAATTTGGTTACTATTTAAGAACACAGCAAGGGGGAAAATATTTCTTACTTCGCTGGCGCATCGACCTAAAGTGGGTCTTGGCCTCCGACACAAGAGAACGCCAAAGCCTGTCTTGCGCCTTCGGTTGCCAGTTCATCGCTTGTAGCTCCCGCAGTTCTCTTTAAAGTATTTCTTAAGTTAGCATATTTAAAATGAATAAGTTTTTTATGTCCTTGTCCTTTAAAAGTCAATGGCCTAATTAAAATTATTAATAAAGCATATTTAATCCGAATTCACCTTGTATTATAAACAAAAACATAAATGTCATTGACCTCGCCATCGAGCCGTACAATTTTATTTTTACCGCATTTTGCTTCGGGCACTAGGTTTATTATTTTTAAACTGTTATCATAAACTAAGATTTAATTCATTAGTATAAAGTCTATTTTGCATTGTTACCTAGTTACACAGACTTCTATTCCTGTTAATTGTCTGATTTTCGATGACAAATGTTGACGAAGGTGACAATCTTGATAAAAATACATAACAGATTTCTTCGATTCGTTAATTAGTTATAATATTCGTTCGAAAAAATAACATTTTCCTTTTGTTTTTTTTTTAAAAACCAATGTAAATGATTATTGCTGTTGTTCAATCTTTTTATATACAAATAATATGTGATAAAAACTATGTTTTGTTATCGTTAATTCGATCTCTTATATTTTAATCTATTTGTAGATTGAATTAAAGAACAATTTTTGTTGTAAAGAAAAAAGCATGTTACTGAAATTGAGGTATTGAAATAACAGCTGTATAGTATTGCTTTAAAGCTCGTTTTTGAAAGTTAACAATATATAAGACCTATTTAAAATTAATATGTTATTTAAAAGATTTTTTTTCTTTCTAGTTTCACAACTGACACCGTTTAACTTATCACTGGATAAGCATTTCTGTAGTTTTTTTGAAAAAGAAAGTCGTATAAAATACCTTGGTATATAAGTATGTACGTATGTATGTTCGTCTCAGGTTTTTATGATTGAAAATAGCGAGTAATCGCTTTAACGGTTCTCCACAAATAGACGGTACGGCCTCTTTTACAATATTTATAAATATTTTTTTCAGTATATTAATTCGGAACGAAGCCACGCGCGGCTGCTTGTTTCATACATATAAATAGATGGAGAATTTGTCGTGATGTTTGTTCAGTGATTTTTTAATCATCACATTCAATAAATGTCTCCGTTTTCTCTGTGGAATATTATAAGAATATATGTGCGCGATTGTACATCTCGTAGTTTGTTTTAGTTTAATAAATTGTTTTTTAAAATAAAAATAGTATAAAACTTAAGATTGTGATGACGTAATAGTGTTATTGTAAACTAATTGATTATATACCAGATGGAAGAAAATAAAGAAGATGACAAGTTAGTTAAACATATTAGTTATCATAACCGTGGATTTCCTAAGATGGATGTGTGGTGTGACAAGGACGGATAAAGTTAAAAATGGGTATATTAGAGGAAGTTTGAAAGTAGCGCCAGTGATCGAGAAATTAAGAAGTAAAAGATTAGCGTGGTTTGGACATGTTATTAGGAGGGATGATGATGATATAAGCAAAAAAGTAATGAGATTGAATGTGGATGGCTACAAGCGTAGGGGAAGACCAAAAAAGTATGGAATGACTGTGTGTAAGAGGATATGCGTAAGAAGGGGGTAGACTCGGATATGACGGCTGATAGAGATGTATGGAGCAGTAGTACATACTGTGCCGACCGTCGATAGGAATAAGGGCAGGTTGATGATGAACCGTGGATTTCCACTGTGGGTAGGACATTAGTTCCAGAGTTCTGTGCGTTCAAACATCAATTTAGTAAAATTAAAAAGCTTTATACATAAGGAACTTTCATACGAAACATTCAAAGTATAGTTGATTTCAAATATTTTAGCGGTCCAAGGTCACCAGCGCGCTGCGCAGTGTTCTCCCACATGCCGCTACGCTCCGCTACTCTTAAAAGAGCCGTCTAGAAATTATTTTAATACGTATCGTGTTTAAGATACAGTTGTTCTTGTCAGGTTTACATTGCCGGCGCGAGCTGACGCCGTGGTGGAGCTGTGGCGCGCCAAGTTAGCGGAAGGTGTGCTCTCACCCGCACACTTCCAAGATCACTGGAGGGTCACCGTGCCAAGGATATATTCGCCGCAACCAAACAGAACATGTCTCGGTCAGTTGCTTTGTAATGGATGGACGTATGTGTTTGATGGAATGACCATGTGAAATTTAAGGAAAGGGTACTGGATTAAGCGACTGGATAACTGGTTTAAAGAACTAGAAACTTCTGTTTATATAAATTAAGTTTGATAAGGTTTGGAATAAAAGGACAAAAATACTAGACACCATTTGTAATTTTTATTACATTCTTTGAGATAAATGATTAAGAGTCAATAGCCTAATGGTTAAGGGTACGGATTTCCTACCATGAGGTCGGGGGTTCGAATCCCGCGATTCGACTATTGTCGTAAACCATATCCGAGCAGAAGCTTAGGGCTTATTTGGAATGGTAAAAGAAATATTAGTAAATTTGCAAAAAAAACAAAAACTGCTAATATTAAAAAAATGATAAATGATCAATAATCTAGTCTTTGAACTGGTTGTTTAAACGCTAACCTCATCAACGTGTAATTTGCAGACTGGTCGTTCGACGAGGAGCTGGCTCAGAAGCTGCTGATCCAACCGCTGGAGCAGTTTGTGTGGGGCGGCAGCGACGCCTCGCAGGCACCTATGCCGCGCCGCTCCACACTCTGCGGACGTGTCTTCAAGCAGGGCGAGCCTGCCTACAGCTGCAGGGAGTGTGGTTAGTATACACATAAATGTGAGACGAAAAGGCAGTGATGGTCTTTTTCAATTGCTTGGTACGTTAAAGTCCTTCGGACATAAGTAAACATAAATATAGGGAACCCAGCGATTTTAGTGCCTAAGTGACTTGAATAATACATAAGCACGCGTGGCCGACATTTTGTTCTTAATTTGCCTTAGCAGTCTCTCCGACCATGTTAAGATTGTCGTGAGAAAAGTCGCAGCAATTTTATGCTTGTAGCGACCAAGTAGACGATTTACGTCGACGACTCAACTTGCAAAAGAATACAAGATGAGTTTCCAATTTAGGTTGCTTTGTATGTTCAGGTATGGACAACACTTGTGTGCTGTGCGTGGAGTGCTTCAAGGTGTCAGCTCATCGGCACCACAAGTACAAGATGGGTCAGTCCGGTGGTGGCGGCTGCTGTGACTGTGGAGACACCGAGGCCTGGAAACGTGATCCCTTCTGTGAACTGCATACTGTTAGTTGACAAATATGTAGATAATAGATTAGGTAGTATGGTAGTATAGATGAATGGATGGATAAATGTTGGTTTGAGTATCGTCAGAAGGGCTGCATAAATTTTGGTGAAATTTGGCATAAATGTAAAACACAGTCTGGAAGAACACAAAGGTAACACATTACGTAGGAACACTAATTAACTCTGCGCGGTCGGAGTCGCGGGTGACAGCTAGTAGTTAAATATATAAAAATTCATTTTTTCAGGTTTACCATATTTAGTTAGTAAACATGTCTTAACACTTTCTTAGTACTTAATATTTAAAAAAAAAATTTAAGTCGAAGAACATTGATAAGTCACGATATTAAAATAAAATAAATAGGGCTTACATATGAAGTCTTACTTCTTACATCCAGGCTCCAGAGAACGACGAGCAAGAGTCGCAGTCCAGCATCAGCGCTGACGTGGTGGAGCGCATGAAGATCCTCGCATCCGTCTGCTTCTCCTACTGCTTCCGTCTGCTCACCCTCGACCATGCTCCCGGTCTGCCTAACGAACTCAGGTATACATGAAAACATCTTACTTCTTACTAATATCATAAATGCGAATGTTTAGATGGATGGATGTTTCTTTGAAGGTATCTCCATAACGGCTGTACGGTTCATACTAAAATTTGGCATAGATGTAAAACATATTCTATTTAAGATTTTTTTTTAAATTGCGCGAACGGAGTCGAGGGCAACAGCTAGTACTTTGATATATTCAAAAAACATTATTCTCTTTTTATCTGCAGGCTGAAGGATGGCGAGCGTGACCTGCTGCAGATCCTGGATCAGCCGGACTGCTATTGCACCGTCATGTACAACGACGAGACACACACCTTCGAACAGGTACTTTACCTAGTTTAGTGGATGTCCAGGGTACAGGACCTGGAACCCCTGGACCTCCAGTCCAGTATATATATTACTCTATGGCCCACCGGTTCAAATAGTAATATCTGTCTAATTAAGGTATATAATAAAATCTAAAAAAAACTGTTTAACCTATATCAGGTGATAGCAACACTGACTCGCGTGCTGAAGGCGAACCACCGCGACGCTGTGGAGCTGGTCAGCCTCATTGACCGCGAGGGTCGCGCTCTCGTCAAGTGCAACTCCTTCCAGATATGTGACAAGCTCAAGACTGATATCGAGGCGTAAGTATTCATTTAGTCGTAGCCAAATAGTTACTAAATACTGTCTACCCAAAGTACAAACACCTTTATAAAAATTATATTGGTTCTTTCTATTTTTCAACTAAAATGAAAGACAAAAATGTTGTAATTAAAAGCATAATATATGAAAATACAGTACAATTTTGATGAAAATCAATTTGCGACTAACGGTCGCACGCGACTCCGCTCGCGCGGAAATGTTAATAAAGAGCATTATATAAGTAGCCTATGTGTTCTTCCAGACTATGTTCTACGTGTGTACCGAATCTCATTAAAATCCATTCAGCCGTTCCGGAGATACCTGCAAACAAACATCCATCCATCCAAATATTCGCATTTATAATATTGGTAAGATAAAAATGTCAGTAGTACTAACACATGTCAGTGTCCCCCCCCCCCATATTGCATGTGTGTGTGTGTGGGTGGGGGGGGGGCGATGATATAATGTATTGGCACTCAGCCGCAACGCGATGTTCGAAAGGTTCACGTCACGTCACGGGCCGGTGCTGAAGGTGCTCGTGATGCACGCACACGTCGTCGCCCACCAGCACTACGCCATGAAGCTGCTGCACTGGTCAGTACTCTCATACACACTCCTACACTTCCATACATACATGCCTAAATCGTATAAATAGAGGTGTGTCGAAATAAATATTCAAATTACAAAGGTCGAGTATGTCAAAATTTATCAAATTGTTATTAATTAGCAAAATCGTCCGCGTAATTAGTACCTTCGTGTTCTTCCAGATTATGTTCTACCTACATCTATGCCAAATTTCATCGAGACCCCTTAAGCCGTTCTGGCATACCTTCTAACAAACATCCATCATCATCACATTATTTTCGATTACTCTTAAATCCCAATATGGTCAAAATTTAATAAAAATAATGTACTCTAGGCTTCAGAACTTCGTGTGCAAGGAGCCATCTCTCCGGCTGGCAGTAAGCCAGGTGGCGCTGGGCGCGGAAGTGGGCGGGGCTGCTGGCGCGGGAGGCGTGGCGGGGGCGGGGGGCGTGGCCGCCGGCGTCATGCAGAACGACTGCCGCATGTGGAAGGCGGCGCGCACCGCATGGCACCGCCTCCTCATAGCCACCACGCTTATGGATTATGACACCAAGCGAAATATGGCGATATTATTCACCAAGTACTACGGTAAGGATAAAAAATCTTTTTTTATTTTATCAAAAAAAAAAAATCTTTTTTTTTAATCAAAAAAAAATCTTAAACGTCCTTAAAAGTCCGTCCTCCTATCAAGGACTAATATTTGTTTGGTTTTTTAATTTTGATAATTGTGTTTTCAGGGTCTATGTTAAAGGACTTCATCCGTGATGATCATGACCACTCTTTCTCCATCTCCTCGATGTCTGTGCAGCTGTTCACGACGCCAACTCTCGCCCACCATCTTATAGCGAAGCACGATGCGTTGTTTGTTGTTATGAATACCTTCGTTAGTGAGTGTCTCAGGCGATGCAATAGCAAGGTTCGTTGAAACGTTTTTATACCGTGTTAAAATTTGTCCAAGTGAAAAAATCTGCTTTATGTTTAGTCTGTGATTTAATTTAAATTGAATAATTTTAATTTAAATCGATGCTGATGGGAAGAAACATTGTGAGAGGGGAATACAGTAAAAAGAAAACTGAACTGTGGTGTTTTAAATGTACAAAATTATTATTGTATTGAATTACTTCGTACTACTTAATTATAAAAGCGAATGTTTACATGGATGGATGGATGGATGCTTGTTACTATCTATCAAATGTTATGACAGAATGTAAATAGTGGTATTGTGTCAATAGATGGCGTACAGTATTGCTAGATCTCGATATTAATTTACTTATTGTATGTTTCGACCTGCCGAAACGATTTTATTAAAATTGACTCGCACCAAGATATAACCAGTTTTACTCTTAAACGAGGTTTAGGCTAAGTGCCATCTGCGCTCGGCCAGCTCAAGCCCGGTGAAGCTGTAAATGCCTCCTCAAGGCAAACAGTGGCAATCAGTCACAAAAAAAAAAGATATAACCAGTGTTTTATTCCAGTGAGAAGGAGACATTTTGAGACTGTTTTACACTATCTCCAGAACGGCGAACCGTATCTCGGTTAAATTAACTGTAAAATACAATCCAGAAGAACACATAGGGTAACTGGAAAAGTATACGGTTTCCGTGGAATAAGTGTCATTAAGATATTTACATATAACATAGTTTCAGACAGAGCTTTATACTACTATTCCGCGCAAACGAAATCGAGGGCAAAAGCTAGTTAATGTTATATAACTTTAATAAATAATTTTATTTATTTACTTTACAGGGTCGTCTGGAATTTGACCGCAACCATGTATCAATGGCGTTCAAGCGCGCGCAGTTCATTCTGTACGATGTTAAGTACCTGCTGGGCTCCGTGCCCACCACCTTTGATGATGATCTGCGCAAGGGCTTCCTGCATGGACTCTCCCTCATCATCTCCCTGCTGGTTATGATGCAGGGCATGGACTCTGTTGTCAGACAGGTACGAGGGTGATTAAAATGACGTTTGAAATGTTGCAGATTTTATTAGGAAATAATTTAATTTTTGATTATGTCTAAAAGTAATTTTTGTCTATCTTCAATACATTACAAAATATTGGTATGAGTCGCAAGATTTGTGTATTAATTTCGATCTATATTTTTGTTTTTTGTTTATTTTATTATATTAAGCGTGGTCAGCATATGGAATACGAGCCGGAATGGGAGTCCGCGTTCAATCTGCACGTGAAGTTGGCCAACAGCATTACTCTGGCGCTGGAGTGGTGCGGCGCTGAGCGCGGCCTGCTCGCCTCCGCATACCGCATGGCGCTGCGTCGACATGCAGACACCTGCACACATGAACCTCACCAGCTCAGAGGTATGAACCATGTATACCTGCACGATCATCATCATACGTTCCCACTGAGGGGTTCAAAGCCTACCCTTAGTCAGGGTTGACTAGGCCATAGTCAACCCTGACTTGTGACTTGTAGTTGTGAATGACTTTAACAGTGTTAGAGCCCGCTTTAACATCTTCGCACGAATTGTCCCGGCTCGCCCGGTGAAATACCACAACCACACAGAAGACAGGCGTGAAGTGGAAGCAATTCCGCGTTTCGTCTGATGAGTGTGCGTCCCGGAGGCCTAATTTAGTCCTCTTTCCCTTCCTACCCTTTTTATTATAATCAAAGGATGGGAAGTGGAAGTGGACTTTCCGGATGAGAGGATGCATGGAAAGGGAAGATATTTTCTTTCTGTGGAACCTCTCCTGCGTCGATTAAAGGTAGGCAACGCATATGCAATTGCGTATGTCTATGGGCAACGGTCACTTCGCTATTTCAGCGATTTCAGGTGGTCGCTCGCTCGTTTGTCACCTTATGATATAAAAAAAAAAAAAAACAAAACATACGTCTGTAACCTCAAGTGGTAGGAAAAGATCATGGATTTTCATTATTACTTAAGGATTTTTTAATTTCATGTAGATATCTAATTAAATAGGCTTACCGTGGTGAAATTCCAAAACAACCCTTATGTATAATCTTTGAGTTTAATATTTGCTATACAAGCATGAGTTAGCATTTTATTTGTGTTTAATATAATATATGATATATTACAGAGTTGGGCAACCAGAGCGCGTTGGTGATCCCATACGACGTATCATCGGAGCCTGTGTCGATCCACCGGCCATTGTCCCGCTTCATCGCTGGTCTGCACCTACATCTTCAGCGACACGGTCTCGCCTACCACAGCAGAGAGTTCGACCGTCACGACAGACCTAAACCCACGCCGGAGGAACTCATCGGTACATATTCATATAATTCACCAGCAATCTTATTAATATTGTAAATACGAATGTGGATGCATGTTTGTAGGTAGGTATCTCCGGAACGACTTAATGGATCTTGATGAATTTTGACACAGTTTACTAAGTTTTTTTTTATCCTGCGTGGACGCAGTCGTGAGCGATAGCTAGTTATGCCAAAAAAATCACCATCGATTCAACTAAGTTCTTGTTTACCTATGTGACATTTTAAATAGAATGAATTTTTTGCTATATAAATGGTGTTAATAATTAGAAATATATATTTTTATATAATAAATATTATCTGTGCATCTGATTTTGACAAGTCAAATGAGAAATTAATATATTTTTGCTATTTGCTTTTGATATATGATCTTAAATGGGCGTGGCAACGCGTCGTAGTAAGTGAATCTTTTACTCAAAATTCAAACATCCTGTATACCTGTTTATTATAACATAGTGCACGTATTGATACAGAGCCAGTCCTGTGCACGATGGCGATGATAGCGCAAGTGCACGCCGGCATGTGGCGGCGCAATGGATACGCGCTTCTCAACCAGCTCTACTTCTACCATAACGTGAAATGCCGCACAGAGATGTTAGATCGCGATGTCGTCATGCTGCAGGTGACGTCACAAACACACACACATGTCATACATATCTTAACACACACGGTTAACTACAACACAGACAAGGGCTCATACTCACTTGACCAAGCCTGTCACTTGTCAAACGACCACACGCACTACTGACAGATACAGTGACACTGACAGACGTCAATCACACCGTACAAGCGATGTTGCCATACGAATAAAATAATTAACGTCATAAATTTATATTCTCTAGATATAGTGCCCTAAAATTTGAAAACAAACAATACTCAATATAAGATTATAGAACTGCATAAGAAACCTTGATAAACTCTAAAAACAAAAATGCTGTTGCTAATTTGTAAATAATATTTACGTCTTATTAAATATTATACAAAATAAGAAAATATAAATGTATGTAGATCGGTGCATCCCTGATCGAGAGCAACGAGTTCATAATCCACGTGTTGAATAAGTTCAATCTGCTGGAGTGGGCGGCGCCGGACTTCGAGCAGCAGAGCGTCGAGTACGACACCCTCAGACAGACCAGCAGCATGGTCGAGGAGTTCCTCGGTCTGCTCATCACTGGTCAGTACACCAAGAACATCTGTTCTAGTACATGCATAAAGCACTTAAACTGTATTTAATGCAGATTTTTAATACTAATAAAACTCCACTAAGGGTTGCCTTAGGGAATCTTGGAAGACTGTGACATATATAAAATAAGTTAGACTACATTAAAAAGTAATTTTATAACAGAAATCTATACAGTCAGACTCGCACAGATTTGTTAAGTGGTCGCTAAGAGTCTCTTTAGTGTAGATTTGTCTTTACAGTTATATTTCATTATAAAAAGAGAAAGGTTTGATTGTTTGTTTGCATGGAATGGGCTTCGAAATACTATAGGCTATATTTAATACAATTTTTTTTAAATCCCGCGCGGACGAAGTTACGGGCAATAGCTACACTAAGTAAGTTAATAATTTGCGACAATAATTTGTTTTTAATTACTAGTGGTTGGATCCCGGTATGTGCCTGGGGTGGGCGAGGTGACCAACGAGGATCGCACCAAGAAGGAGATCATACAGATGCTGTGTGTCAAACCCATGCCACATTCGGAGCTCAACAGGTGACAAATTGTTTAACCACTGTTTCCATTGTCGTTAAAACATAATCATGAGTAAGATGAAAACAGAGATATGAGTGTTATAAATAAAATAAATATTTTTTTTAACTCTATTAATGTTTACAAAAACTGAAAGCACTTCGCGCCATTATTGAGCTGTCATGTGTCATCTGTCAAAGCTTTTATACGTTATGTTAGCGGTTTAAAAAAAATTAAAATGTTTACTTTTTTCACTTTTTATTATATATTAAAAAATACTTATTTGTCTCCCAATTGCTAACAATACTCATTTCTAGTTATGTTTAAGTTTTTTTTATACTAACCACGGACGGAGTCGCTGGCGTCAGCTAGTATTTAAAATTAATAAATAAATTTCCAGATCTCTCCCGGAAGACCAGCTGCACGAGACTGGCTTGGAGGCGGTGATCCATGAAGTAGCAGACTTTGTGAAGCCGAAGGGCGGCAACAACCGCGGCATGTACAAACTCAAGCCCCACTTGTATGATGAATATGATACGTTCTTCTATCATTACACGCGAGAGGAACTGTCCAAGAGTGAGGAGGAGCAGAGGAATAGAAGGAAAGCTGCTGGTTAGTGACACAATAATATATGGTTATTTTGGGTAGAAAAACTTACCCATGAACTTAAATGTCGACTTAAGGCTAAGATGGAAGTTAGGCATCTGAGAGTTACAGGTCTTAAATTTTACTGCGAAAGAATGAGTCTTATTGTCAGACACCAAGGTGCATTTTGGGTTAATACAAAGCACATTCTGGAGTTATATTTTGTGTCAAGTTTCAAGGTCAACATAAATATTAGTCTGTAGCTATTTGTTACAATTGTAATCGTTGGTTTCTGAGATCAAAATCTCCGTAGGTTGAGACATTACTTTAATTATAATGTCAGGGTTGCCGGAGTGCTGCCCGCCGCCGCCGCTGCCGAAGCTGTCGCCAGCGTTCCGTCTGCTGGCCAGCTTGCTGCAGAGTGACGCCGCGCTGCACGTGCTGCGCTGCGTGCTCGAGCGCGCACTCGACCTGCGCGCGCGCGCCTTCTCTGAGACACAAGTACACAAGGTATGTACAAACTAGGGTGGTAGTTACTACTGTTAACGGTATAAAGCTTAGTAATATGATAAATGCGAATGTATGGATCTATGGATGGATGTTTGTTAAAAGGTATTTCAAGAACGGCTGCATGGATCACGCTGGAATTTGTCATACATGTAAAACATAGCCTGGAAGAATATATAGGCTATTAATTAAGTTTTTTTGAATCCCGCGCGGACGGAGACGCGGGCGACAGCTACTACTTATTAAATATGAATCAAAATATATCTTAATTTTTCTTTTATTGCTTTTTTATCGTATATATAGGCGCTACACCTGATCGGGTACGCGGTACGTGACGAGGAGAGCGGGCACTATGAGTTCCTTGCGTTCGCGGAGAGTGCTCAACGCAGCGGCCTGCTCGACCTGCTGCAGAAGCTGTGCTCCTGCGCACGAGTGGAGCCACATCTGCCACTCGCCAAGTGGCTGCTGGCCAGGCTCAAGTTAGTATTGAATAGCCTAGCACTAGCTTATATTACCTAACAATAAGTATGACCAACAATAAAATAGTAATGATAAGGTTTGTTAGATTTTTTTAAAAATTATCTTGTCATATTTAAAAATTAACAACTTGTAACCTACACCCGTAACCTAGAAGGGTAGGCAGAGACCACGGAATACCACTTGGCTCGGTGCTGACACCTCACTCGCTTCGAAATATACATGCAGGTCGGTTTCTTGTTCTGTTAATATCGCTCTTCTTGAATATTTTATTGAACTATATTTTTAAAAGTCTGTTCAGGACGTTGATCTGTCCGTCTGTTAAAAATTAAATTAAAAAAAAATCTTTAACGACTGGAAAAAGATAGGAAAGTGAGTCTTTACTTCTCGGGTGGAACGCAAAAGTATGAATAGCTTCTCTATCTTCTTATCTTTTTTAGATTCTTATATTATTGTGTGTAGGACGTTGCTGGGCCAGCAGGATGAACACGCGGGTGACGGTGATAATATGGACACCGACCAGGGACAAAAGGCCTCCGAGGACTTTGCAGGTTAGTGTGACTAGATTATAAAAAAAATAAGCTTAGTAGTATTTGTCACTAAATAATTTTAATTGTATCCATATGTACCGTAGACAGGAGACGGTAGTTAAAGATTATTTGTGATGTAAAGCTCTACTGATTTTTATTTTTAGTCAACTACCGCCATTTGATAGGACGATTTGACAAGAAAATCAATTGCGCTGACCCGACATATGGAAGATAAGAACAGGGAAATGACGAACTACCCTAATCTTACTAAATTACTAATATTATAAATACAAATGTTTGGATGGATGGATGGATGTTTGTTTGAAGATATCTCCAGTACGGCTGCATGGATTTCACTGAAATTTGGCATGGATGTAGAACATAATCTGGAAGAACACATAGGCTACTTATTAAGTTTTTTATGCCAAGCGAACGGAGTAGCGGGCGACAGCTAGTATGTCATATATTTTGCATGATAAAAATTATTGATGTTATTTATATCCAGACGTAGAGAAGAACCGTCGCGCCAAGCTGGCTGCAGAGCGTCGCGCTAAACTGATGGATCAGATGAAGGCGCAGATGAACAAATTCATATCCAACAACGCGGTGCTCTTTGAGGAGACCAATACTGAGGTTAGTTCCTGAATGTATGTACAATACGATAGTTAAATCTCTAGTATTTTACCTCAAAAACAATGCGGATTCAAAGCAAAATTATACTAACAAGTATGCGCAATAAAAAATAACACGGACAGAACGAAATAGAAATTCTTTAATATATAATGACAACATTAATAAGATAATTTACGTGGTGTAGAAAGGCATCTTGTATTTTATAGTAATAGAATTCGCCAAAATAGCGAAGCGGCCGCTGCCCATAGACATCTGTTTTGCTTTTCTTTAAACGACAGAGGAGGGGACGCACAAAAAAGATATTTCCCCATAAATTCTTCTAAGGAAAGGTTAAGAAGGGGTAGATGACTTAAATTACTATTTTCAATTAATTACTAAATATTTGTAGTGAATAGTTTTGTTAACATGTTATGTTATGTCAGGTGACTGCGGAGGAGCAGGAGCTGCGTCCTCTGTACGCGGGCGCGGCGCTCGGCGTGTGGGGAGGAGGTGTGCCAGACCCGCCGCGTGTCTGCATCATGTGCCAGGAGGAGGTGATATCATATACCACCAATACAACATAACGACGACAAATAACTCACTTACTTCATCAAAACGCACCTACAGACATTTATTCGTCACTTAAGTAATCTCTTAGGGTACATTTCTCATACTAAATCTACACTAAAATGCTAAAAAGTTTTTATAATTTTTGTTGTATTTGATTAATTTTATTTAAAGTTGACTTTTGTTCCTTCGTATTAACATTGCATAGGCTCGTGTGGAACTGAACGTGGAACCATTGGTGCTAGTGGCGTTCGTGCAACAGTCGACAGTGTTAAGCCGGCTGCGGGGTGTGGTCAGCTGTCCACGTGACGCATACCTCGCAGCAGGGGTGGGCTCTCAGCCTCATGTCTCCACTTGCGGACACGCCCTGCACGCGCGCTGCTGGAGGAAGTACGTCGATGGTGTGAGGGATAAGGAGAAGATCAGGTATTTAAAATGTTTTTTTATGTAATATAATATAGAAGTATTATTAAACAACATTTGATACATAAATAGGCGAATAATGAGAATTATCGTGGGTTTCCGACACCAAAAATCTCCGATGAAAACCCTGTATATTGTTATCTCTGTTTAGAAAAACATCAGGGGACGGGAAGAGAAGAAAGGGATGTCAATATGTTTTATACAGAGATTTTGTCTCAGAAACCAGTGGTTAATCGTTTAGCATACAGGTCACTATGAATTTCTTCATATTTGATCATTCATTTATATATTACTTAAATAAATTTATTGATGCAATATATATATATATATATATATATATATATACTTCATTATGTGGTTTCGTCAGACCGTACCGGCTGCGTCAACCGGCAGCATTCGATGTGGAGAAGCGCGAGTACCTGTGCCCTCTGTGCGAGCGGCTCTGCAACACGTCCCTCCCCCTCGTGCCCTCGCCCTCCCTGCCGCCCGGCTCCCCGCCACCCCTCAGCGAGGAGACCTACAACGACTCTGTTGAACTTATACTGCGGCTGAGGCATCAGGTGAATATGGTCCGTCGAGTCGGACGTTACATATATTACTTGATTGCTGTATCTCTCTGTCGCATTAATGAGACTTTACATATAGGATATTACTTGCTTATTTTTTATTCTGTATTTTTGATTATTAAAATTGTTGTTTTAAATTCCAGGTGTCATCAGAAGCAGTGCACGTGTGCACGGAGTACTGCGAGGACATTCACTGCGTGGCGCGCGCCCGTAGTGTGGGGGCCACGTCCTCCGAGACGGAGGAGGAGCCCGAGCCGGAGCCCGAGGTGTACTCCTCCACGCACGCGGAGACCATGCTCTCGCCCGAACTGATGGCACACTTCTCCGCCACGCCTTCAAGCCAGAACCAGGCTTTCACGCTAGTCGAGGACTTTGTGAGGGTAGGTAGCGTTGGCACAATTTTAAAACGCCAGTTAAATAGTTTACTTCAACCAAATTATTGTTTAATGTGATATATTAAAAGGAAAACCTTAATATTGTTGTTTTTGTCTCAGACGATGCCGATAGTGTGCAACTCAATGGAAACCGGTGGTCTGGTGGCGATCGCGGCGCTGTACCGCTCCACCGCGTACACGGTCATGTCTACGAACTCGGTGCTGCAAGCGGAGGGGCGGCCGCTGCTAGGCGAGCTACCCTCGCGCCACCGCGACGCGCTGCAGGCCCTCATTCGTCTCGCCGCCGCCATGCCCTCCATCTGGGAGACCCCCAAGCACGTGTCGCACCACGCGCTCTGCACGCTGCACGCCCTCGCCAAGACCTCCCCCCTCACACACGAGGTGTTCGGTGCCCTCGTCGCCCTCGTCCTCACCGTGCCCTCGCTCTTCTGCAAGCCCGCCGGCCCCGCGCGTCCAACGCACCTCGCAAGACAGATCGCCCTCGACGCCTTCCGCGCCGAAATGACCAAGGCCCTCATCGCGCTCGATGTCAGCGGTTGCACTAGCCAGCCCATGGAGGACCAGGAGGAGCACAAAATCCCCACCGATCTCGAAAACCTGCTGCCGCTCATGAAAGAGCTGCGACGTGGCAACCTGCAGATCGAGGAGCTGAGCGCGCCCGAAGTGTGGGAGAAACTCAAACGGCAGTGCCACACGTTCCTAAGGTGCTGCTGTCTGTTCTTCCACTTCCTGAGCGACATCATCCCGCCCACGGAGCTTACGGTGCGCGACGGGGACACGTGGGACGTTATGTGCGGCTACCTTAATCTGCCCGCCACCTTCCGCGAGCTGATGGACACGCCGCTCGCCAGGAAGAAGGCAATGGAGTGGTCCTCGTACTCGAATAAATGGTTCCGCGGCGACCTCAAGCCGGAAGTCGTGTTGGACCCGGGCGAGCCGCCGCGCCTCGTGCCGCTCCCAGACGACTTCTCCGAGCTGATGAACGTCATGTCGGAGTTCTCCTGTCCGAACTCGGAGCGCGAGGACAGCAAGTTCCCCACCATGTGCCTCGTGTGCGGACAGATCCTCTGCTCGCAGAGCTACTGCTGTCAGATCGAGGTAGTGGTAGAAATCACGATATTGGTTAGTTTGCATAAAAGGCGTTAAAATATAATATAAAGTGTTAAATGTATGTGCGTATGTGCAGGTGTCTGGTAGGGGCGGTGTGACCGAGCACGTGGGTGCGGTGGTGGCGCACGCGGCGCACTGCGGCGCCGGCTCCGGCGTATTCCTGCGCGTGCGCGACTGCGAGTTGCTGCTGCTCGCCGCAGCAGCGCCATCACGCGGCGCCATGCTGCCCGCGCCATACCTAGATACCTACGGAGAGACCGACCAGGTGAGTTGCATAAAAACACATACAGTCAAGCACATTAATTTCCTCACTCACAATGCAATTAGGTTAAAAACTTGCTATATCAACATTACATCCATGCTAATTAGAACTTTTATAGTGACAGTTTGCTGTAAGATATTTGATCTTAAGTGGGAAGCGAATTTAATTCTTTAACTGTATACTCCAACCCATAATTATCACAAAGATGAGTGCATTTTCAAAAGCAAAATATTAGGATAAGGATCAAGAGGAGGGTAAAATATAACAGGAATAATTATTTTATTTTAGACTTTGTATGTCTACAATTATCGTCTTATCTCCAGGGTCTGCGTCGCGGCAACCCGCTGCATCTGTGTCCCGAGCGGTATGAACGTCTGCGCATGGTGTGGCTGTCGCATGGCGTGCACGAGCGCATCGCACGTGGCCTTGATGCAAATGTGATGGTTGCCAACACCTGGCAGAACATGTGAGGAGCCGCTTTGCCGCCGCCGCGCCGGCACCCGCACAACCCGCACCACCAGCCCGACATCGAGCCCGAGTACTAAGTGCCCGGGCCGGACACGTGCCTGCACTGCGGAGCGGAGACACGTGCGACACGTGCGACGCTGCGACGATATACCAGAGACAAATGTGTGCAGTGTAGTGTGTAATATCGCAACTATAAGTCACGTCCGTGTGTATCAGAGACACGTGCCTCTAGTGTAGTGTTACACGTCGCGACACAAGGCACGTGAAGTAGCCGTGATGAAGACACGTGCTTTAGTGTTTATGTGAGTAGTGCAGTGAATGTGTGATTGGCGCACAATAATACAGACAAACATATTGTGTAATTTGCTGTTTTGATGTATTTTATAGCACAATACAATCAGTTTAATTTAACCATTTGTCGTAAAAATGATATTAAGATACCATAGTATGGGGATGTGGCACCATATTGGATAAATATTGGTGTAAATAATAAACTTGTTTAAAAACGGCCGTATTTTTAATTAGCTTATAATTCTCATGAAAATTTAAACAATTACATAGTTTAAATATCTACAGTTAACACCTAATAACAGATAAGTCTTGCCTTTTTCTCTGATAATAATCTTATAAGATTTTACTGCAGAAATTGCACTAATTAGCTAGTATTAATATATTAAAACATAATTGTCTATTTCATAATATCAAATTCTCTGTAGATTACAAATTGTATTGCAGTTAAATATTACAACCAATTAACACTTTCAATGCTGACCAATGACATTACAACTAGCCAGTTGAGTCCGTGGCAGTGAGTGTGTTAATCCATAAAACATGTCACTTAACCCTTTAATGCCTTTTAATGACCGATAGAATTAATTGGTAATATAAATTAAATATCTAATTAACTAACATACTATTAGGATTTAGGGTCCCTATTTGGCAGTTAGGGGACCTACTTACTGTAAGTTTGTTGTGCCAAACATTCACATAAACATAAATACATGTACAGTCAAAGAATTAACTTTGCGTCCTATGTGAATGTACAGGAAAATCAAGCTATGACATTTTTAAGTCCTAATTGAATTGTCAAATGTCATTTTACTAAACTGTATCTTATATATAAAATTCTCTTGTCATAATATTAGTTACCATACTCCTTTGAAATGTCTTGACAGATTTTTTTGAAATGTTATATACATATTCTGTAGGACTGTGAATCGGCTATCACAACAAAGCCGCGGTTGACGGCAACAAATATCTTGACTGTACATAACATGTTTTATGTGAATGTTTCGGTAATACGATCTCATGGTTAGAAATGCACAATATGTTTAATGTATTTACGTACAATGTTAAATTTTAAAGTTTGAAGTCATGATAGTTTTTGAGTCAAACTATCATTATTTCAACTGAAAAAACAATCTTTGTTAATCTGTTTCAATTGACGCGACTATGGATATATGTTGTCTCTGTTTTTTCAAAGAGAAAGAAAGGGATGGCAATATTTTAATACAAATGTCAGTGTAGCGGAGTTCAAAGATTATGAATTGAGATTAGGTGACAAGTCACATCTTGTCATCTTAGAGACATGAAAGCTAGTTTCCTATCCCTGTCCATCTCTATTGGGATATTAACAGCTTTATTTATATTTTATTCTAACAGATGTGTAAGATAATGCTTGGTTACTAATTATTGTTTTAAGGTTATGTTAAGCCAATTGTAAAATTCGTCAGTTTATAATCTCACTGTTCATGTAATGCCGGCTAATTGTGAACTCTAGAACATGTATTCTGATAAAGTTTACAATTGGTAGCTGAATTATAACATCTCAAGATGTCGTTAGATTGTGATCCTTATTTTCTTAGTGTTAAGGTCTCGTTTGGATTCGCGACACTTTTGCAGTATTAAAAAACTGTATGCAAATTTAGCGGAGGCAGCGTTTTAATAATAAAGTATGTTTAGTCTTGAGTTTGGATATTGTTTGTTTTTTTTTTGTCTTGATTTTAGTTATTTGATAATTACTGTTAGATATAAAATCCAATATTCATGTATAAACTATGGATTTCTAGGTTAAATTCCGAGATGGAGTAATTTTCATTTAATTAAGCAATCAGAAAAAAATCACCCAGTTATATTGGTTTAAAAAACAAAGTCAGCTTTGAAATACATTAACAGGGTTAAACAAAGTGCATTCGCTACGACACGATTTCATAGCGAACTTCAAAAATGTATAGAAGTGACACGACATTACGTGTCTTATCAAAAGTTATTGTCAGTTCTATATATTTTTGAAGTTCTTTATGGAATCAATTTGAAGTGAAGGCATTTTGTCCCCATTGCCTATAAAATATGATGTAAACGCCATCTAACGCTATTTACCCGCATTATTTCTTGATGTTGGTCCACAACAGTATAATTAAAGATTTTCTTTTTTTTATGAGTACAAGATACAATAATATTTTGATGATCGCAATTTTATCACTTGTTTTAAATACCAGTTTTAATTCCTTACCAATAGATGGCTCTTGTTATTGATTACCCAAACTATTTATATGAAAATTAACTTCGGTAGCACATTTTAAATAAGTTAGAATTATTTATGATTTCTGCAGTGTTTATATTTGCGATGTTTTTCATATTTATATTATAATTTCTTACAAAATTGTTGTGTATTTTGTGTTTCCAATGCTTCAAGTGATTTTATCTTAATATTAATATCATTAAAATAAATGTTACCGAAATTAAAATGATATGGTTGTTTCCTTTTAAATACCTTTTCAGCTCAATGTTAATATTTCTAAATATGATACGAAATTTTACACCAATTTCATATGTTTTAAGCACATTAAATATATTTGTCGTTTTTTAACATAAATAAACTGAATCAATAAAAGAAAAAAAAGTAATTAACAAAAGTTAAAAAATTTGACCCCGACGTGATTTGAACACGCAACCTTCTGATCTGGAGTCAGACGCGCTACCGTTGCGCCACGGAGTCGTTGCGAAATGTCTAGAAATTATTGTAACGACTTAAAATTTCTTAAAAAGACTATTTCAACTGCCTACATTTCCGGTGGATTCAAATAAACAACAATGAATAATTAAAGTTACCTCATTGACTTATTTAAGACTTACTCTCGCGAGCGACTCCGTCCACGCCGATTTAAAAAAAACTTTGGTAGCCTATGTGTTCTTCCAGACTATGTTCTACATCTATGCTAAATTTCAGTGAGATCCATGAAGCCGTTCTGGAGATAACTTCTAACAAACATCCAAACATTTATAATATAAGTAATATGCAGATAAAGGAACCTCTGACTTTTTTCTTGCTTAACAAATGCTGTGTCACCTTATTTTGAGTGTTTAGTATAAATTATAGTTTTGGTTAGATATTTGGTTTTGCAAAAACATCTGTACAAAAGTATATTGTTATCTCTACATTTATATGCATTTCAGTAGGTCAGTTCAGATTTCTCATCAAAATAAAACACAGTTTTCAGTAACAATACTTTATAATTCATCTTATTGATTTTATTATCTCTTAAATATAAAATATATTCAATATTGCGTTCACACATCAATCTTTTAATTACATACAAATAAACAAACATTTATATATTTAATTGAATTACACAAAATTTTGAAAATTTTTCTTTTTTCATCAAAAAAACCTTTCTAATTATGAATTTGACAATTTTATAAGCTTTTATTTAGTTTCAACTGTCTGTATATTTGTCATTAAATCGAAATCAAAGTAAATTATCGAACTGATTTTTTTATCTTTCTAGCGTATCTTTTATCACAAATTAAATTAAATATTTTGGTTTTAAATGCTGCATACACTTTTCTTTCTTATATAGTTTAATTTATTACCACTGGTTTAAATTATTTGGGTACAATTAAAATATTAATCGAGTTTTTGGTTGAAAATATTGTTTTTTTAATTATTATATTAACTATCAGTCTATAAAGATGACATTAAAAATTAAAATTATTGAATTTGTTGGTTTATTTAATTACTAAAATACAAAGAAATTATTCTTTCCTTTTCTAATTGATACTTTGGGAATGTATATTTGCAAAATTATAGCTTTAAATAATTTAAGTTAAAACACATTTTTTACTTACTAAAGAATAAATACCTTATATTTAATACTTAACTTAAACTTATCATAACTTAATCAAGTACTTAGATGTTAAGCTCTTTAAGTTGGACATGACTGAATTTTTCAAGCTGCCAGATTTAAATTTCAAACTTCACTATGTACACTTTTAGAATGAAATTCTCAAATAAAATTAACTTAAGTTCAACTTGAAATTATAATCGTCATCAACTTGAAAGTGTGTATTGTTTTTTTTTAATTTTGTCATTTTTTTAAGTAAAATAACTGGGTTTATATGATTTTAAAGTCTCAAGTTGATTAACACATTTACTTTTATATTAAAAGTTGTTGTTTTTGCTATTTATTATTTTAACTAAGACATAATAATATAGTTTTCCTTATTCACTAATTTTTAAAATTGGCAATGTCTCTGACAGTAAAAGAGAGCTTCGTAATTTAGTAGACAATACCAAGAGCATGGTCTTGGTATGGTCTAGATGACAATCTTCGTATGGTCTTAATCCGGTCCTAGCTGCAAAGACAGTTGTCAGTACCGGTGGTGATGTGAGGTTTCCTCTGACGCGGCAATGTCACCACACCATATCCTGGTTCACCCTGGAAAATTTAGAAATTATTATATATAGCAGAGAAACATAAAAAACATTAAACCACTATTAATTTTTTGTCATCTTTGATTTAATGTCAAGGAATTTGACATTGTAAAGTTTTATAGTGGTAAATCTTCAATTCAAAATGTAGACAATTTAAAAAATTAGAGAGTAAAAAGTTGAATATTTTACAAGCCAACCTTTTGTCAATAACAGCTGAAGTAAAAAATGCTGTTTGTTTTTTTATAAAAGGGGGCAAACAAGCAGTGGGAACACCGAGGTGTACACCGACGCCCATGGACATCAGACTAGAGGAACTGCAGGTGCGTTGCCAACCTTTGAGATGGTGATACAGTCAAAGTGATACATGGTTATTCTTACCTCAACTCTGACAACTCTGAGGGGTTGCTTGGAGTACAACTTGTGTGCGAGGGTCATAAAGATTGACTCCACATTGTCACACTCGCTGTCCAGTAGGGCTGACGTCTCAAACAGCTATGGAAGAATATTATTCACTATTATATAAAGTTGACAAGATTTATAGGCAGAATTATACTACAATATGTAGTATGTAGGTTTTCGACTTTTAAAATAAATCTAAATCAATTAATTTTACTGTTGATATATAGTAAACAACTTAATAGAATATTGTCTACTCCTAACCACAGGGCAGGCGTTAGATTAGGGCATGGTTGGGTGACCACCCACAGCCCTGGACTGAAAGGGGCAGCACAGGTCTACAAATTACAGACTCAGATAACCTTGTTAACTCTTCCTAACGTAAAAAGAGACCATAGGAATCTCATCCAGGTCACTATAATTATTGGCTAGCTACATGACAATCTTCTTCTACACTTTGTCTTCTCTGTTAGAATATACTCACAGGCATGCCATGTTTATCAGCCAGTCTTTGCGCATAAGCAGTAGCGAGACGGGACTCCGGCGTACCGCAGTCACATTTGTTGCCGACGAGCACGCGAGGAGCCCCTGTCAGTCCATGCGACTCCACCTCCTGCATCCAGCTTGCTATCGACTGGAGTAGATAATACAGTAGTCAGTGATAGTCAAACTGATTGTGAGAGAATATGTGATGGAATCTAAATGAAGAGCACAAACTGATTATTTAAGTTTTAGAGGGCAGTCCTATTATTAGTATATTTGTGTTTTGATGCCAAGCACATAACAGGATGTCAAGTATTTCTGTGAGATATTTGTGTAATTGATGTGAAGTATTCAAACAATTTTAAGTAGCAGATGGGATGAATTGTGTTTGCACAATATATTTCATGCAAATGTTAATACAGCTTCTTTCTTAATGGAGTGAGAACTAAACTAACGGAAGATAAATCAATCAGTTAGTTTCAACAGTGGTAGAGCCTGCTTTAACATCTTCGCACATATTGGCCCGGCTTGCCTGGTGAAATAGCACGACCACAAAGAAGACAGGCATGAAGTGGAAGCAATCCCGTGTTTCGTCTGATGACTGTGCGTCACGGAGGCCTAATTTGGTCCTCTTTCCCTTCCCACCCTTTTTCTTATAAGGAAAGAATGGGATATGGAAGTTGACTTTCCCGATGAGAGGATGCATCGGAAGGGAAAATGTTTTCTTTCTGTGCATCCTTTCCTCCATCGATTAAAGGTAGGCAATTGCATATGTCTATGGGCAACGGTCACTTCGCTATTTTAGCGATTTCAGGTGACCGCTCGCTCGTTTGCCACCTTATAATATAAAAAAATGAAGATGTAATAAAATGTAGTGACACTAACATGAAAAGTCTCTGGCTTAGTAACATCATAGACAATGACAACAGCGTGCACATTCCTGTAGTAGTGCTGCACCATTGACTTGCGGAACCTCTCCTGTCCCGCTGTGTCCCACAGCTGAAGCTGGAACAAGTCCATTTGTATACATATTAATATTACCTTCCATTAATGAAAGTGTTCGGGGCAAACTTGTCCTGAAACTTTACCGACTTTTCATTTTAAATAATTACTAAATACTCGAACAAACCAATTAATGTTTACATGCATCAGCTGTTTCTAAAGTCAAATGCTTGCATACTTGATAATGTCTATTGTCTATTCATTATAAATTTAAATTACATGTTATGTTATAGACATCCTTTTTACCTTTATCTCCTCGTTACATATCCGTACAGTTCTTTCTCTGAAATCTACCCCGATTGTGGCTTCAGATTTATCAAGGAATTGACCTTCGCAGAAGCGGTATGTGAGGCACGTCTTTCCCACGCCAGAATCACCTAAAACAATTATTTTGAAAACTTTCTTTTGCTTCAGCCCAGCTATATTATGATCATTGCTTGAACCCGTCATGCTTTGGCACTTGAAAATATAAAAATGTTTAACTTTCTTCAAAAATAAAACATCAATATTTATTTTGACATTCTGTTTGTCCTCCCATGTAAGCCGACTAAATTATGTTTATCATCCATTGTCCACAAAAACACGCCCAATAACGGGATTATTCAATTTTTAGGTGATTTGAACTTGTAAGAAAGAGACAACTAACAAGCAATACATTTTGTGGGTTCTTCCGAATTCGACATCATTATTACTTTCCAATGCTGTCGAGTAAAAAATTACTGATGATTTTAGTAGAATTCTCTACCTAAAATGTAATTTCCTATTGGTCAATTAGGAACCAAATTGTTTTTCAATCTTCTCAATAATACAATTCAAGCTGTTTCACACTCTAATAGAAATACTATGCAACGACTACCATCTTATGATTTTTTAAAGTACAGTCGCCAATTTGCGAGGTCGTGATCACAGCGAAATTTACGAAGTAACGTATTGGTTGCTTATGTGTGACTTTAACTTTAGGATCCGGAGGTGCAACATCTTCGCTTTGATCATATTTGTCATGACTTTTTTGTGTCCACTCTTATGTCAGTAGTATTTTTTTGTGAAGATGGCAACATCTGTTTGAATTTAGCATACTTTGGTAACTTTAGTAGGATTGTAGTTTTTCCCAAAGTCTGTGATGACGAGGAACGACTTCTGTCTATTTATTAAGTTTTATGACGATTAATTCAACATTTATGCTAGATTTTATTCTATTTGCATGGTATAAATTAAAAGTAATAAAAATTTAGAAGTCACATAATGTAGTTTGACCTGTAATCGTTATAAGTGTTTGAGTTATAACCTCTTGATCTGGGCTATCATTTTAATTCTTGTAATTGTCGATTGAATTCGTTCGTTGGCGATAAAAGAAAGTGTTTACATTCCTTAGAGTGTATCGTGTGTTAGTGATGTGAGTTCGGATCGTTGACGAAACGGCCCGCTAATGTGTGAGGAAATAAAATGTGTGTGATTTGGTGTAAAATTACAAAGTGTTTTTGTGGTGACCGTTGTCGGATGCTGCCGTAGGATTGCAATGTCCAGGCTCGTCGACTACTTCGTCATTGTGGGCTTTGACCACGAAAAAGAAAGTAAGATATTAAAAAACTTTATTTTTCATATATTTGATTATTATTCCTATTTGATTCTACTGACATAAAGAAGACAAAACAAGTATAGTAGAAGTATATCTTTGTGTCAATAAAATAGCAATCATTATCATTAAAAATTTACATTAGATTAATGTTATACCCAATTGACCCAGCATGGGTGTAAAACATTTGTTAGACTTATTTCAATTCAAGAACTAAACATTGTCAACAAAAAAAAACATTTACTGAAAAGACTGAGAGACAGATTTTACGCAATTTTATTTTATTAGCTGAATCTAGCATCTAAGTCAAATAATATCCAATAACATGAGCAAAGAAAAATTTACCATAATGTAGAGAAATATCCTAATAAGAGTTCATTGTTTTTTTTAATTACACACTAAAAGTGGCATTACATTTAAAAGTGTGCAAATTTCATACATTTGATATCTTCATATCAATTCTGCACCTCTCTAAATGGCTAAATAATTCATCCGGCCTTGAATCATGTCGCATGTTAATAGATCTCTCTTGTTTGATACCATTGAATTGATTTAACACAGAATGCCTATTCAGTTGCTAGCATTTTGTATGTTGCTCTATGTTCTCTTAATATAGCAATATAACTATAGAATGAAAAGAGGTTCTCTTAAAAGAGTCAATATGTGTATTTGATACTGGCTATCTAATCATATGGGTGGTTTTCTAATAAATTTATAAGAATAAATAAAATCTGTAGCATTTTATTGGTGAATTCACTCTAGTAAATAAATACCTTCAATTGTTTTTGTTCTCTTGCCCTCTCACTCTTTTCAAAAAGGAAAGAATGAGTTAGATAAGTGGATTTAGCATAGGAATCAATGTTTAAAAAAAGGGGATTATACTTTTTCTGTACATCCTATCCTTTGTCCATTCTGTAATTTTTTTGGTGTTTTCAATACGGCCAATGGAATCTATAAAATCAATCAGCCCAATGTGATTTTTGGGCAGTGGTCACTTCATTGACGTTATAATTCCAAGTGATTGCTTATTGTTAATTTACCACCCTTTGGTTTTAAAAAAATATGTTAAATATTTTTACAATTTAAGATTTGATCCCAAATAAAACCTGCATATGACGCCCTCCGACTTTGTGGCCCGACTATTTTCTCTTGCACACGCGTCTTTAGTACTTACGGCACGTGATTACCATCGTGCTACGAAGAAAATCAAATCTATTTTCGTATTTGGTTGGTAGAATTATTTGAGTCTATTGCAACCAATGTCGGCGAAGGCACTTTTTACTATCATATTGGTTGTTCAGATATAGCTGTAATAAAAGTATAATTTTTCTCGATGAGAGATTTTCTAGAAAACCTGTGTTTCCGGTACAGACGCTCTCGCAAAGGTAAACTGTTCAGATCGAAACTTGATTGGATAATAAACTCGTTATCGAAGTCTGTTTCGTATTTCTGGTCGTGTAAACTTTCCTAGATTATAATAATAACAAATAGATTTTTTATGATGCTATCAGAAAATTATAGACGTTGGTTACCATTGGCTTTTCTTTTCTATTGTTTTGTTTTAATTCTATTATGTGAAAAAAAAACCCTGTAAAAACAACCGTTCCACAACGGTCTGTCCTCGGCGGTATTTCCAAACCAATAGGACTTAGAGACCTTCAAGAAGCGAGCATACCATTTCCTTAAAGGCCGGCAACGCATCTACAGTTTCTCTGGTGTTGCAGATGTCCATGGGTTTCGTTGATCACCTCGGTGTTCCCGCCGCTCGTTTGCCCCCTTCTCTTATAAAAAAAAAACAACTGAATATCATCTACAAATATATTACAGAATTTGTCTTTCAAAACATACTACTAATACTTATTTTCTTTGCTTTTTCGTTTTACGTGTTAAAAAACGGTCATTACGCTGAATTGTGAGTTGTGGGTCTCAATTATAATGCGTTTAAAGCACACCCCTACCGCCTCACTGTCATTATCAGAGGTCGCGCCCGGAGCGTAGCGTAACTAGGTCGTCCAAGCACGCTCCAAATAATTGTCTCAGACCCTTAAAATTTATTAAAATGTATACTGGAATAGCATTGTTTTTCTGTTGTTGCTATGCAGATATAGCGAAATTGAACGATAGTAATTTAAAATTTTAAAAACCAATCCCATGTTGGCCAAAAATCTGTTGGACTCCACCCATATGACATAGGAAGATAATCGAATAATTCACACGTTGAAATTGAAAACTGACATCTCCACGTTTATAGTGTACACTAGCCGTCGCCCGCGACTCCGTCCGCGCGGATATAAAAGTCGCGATCCGTTCAGCCGTTCCGGAGATACCTTCAAACAAACATCCATCCATCCATGTAAACATTCACATTTATAATACTAGTAAGATTTATCTGTGAAAAATCATATTCTCCTGTCAGCCGGGCATAAAACAGAATTTATAAATTTCATCATAATTTGATGTCGAGAGATTTCCCTTGGCAATTTTACCCGAACGTAGCTAGACCTTTGAATCATCTGTTAGAATATTCTGCGTGATGTTTTAAAAATAAAAACATGCATTAATCACTAATGCCTGAATTGAATCCTACATTCGGAGTTCCGCTAAGTTTGAGCATATGACGTAAACCTAGTCGTATGATGTCAGTGAATAATTTTGTTATATTAAGATATTGTGCAAGATTAGGAAACCTAAGACTCCAGTCTTCCATACTATATTTTAAAACTAAGACTTAAGATGTCTAAAAAATATATATATCCTCTTTAGTGACAATGATAAAGATATGTATAGATTGACGATTCATATTGCAAAAAGAAATTACGATAAGCCGTTTACAGTTTTGATACTTTTAAAATTTATCGTAGACTTTCACTGTCGTATTAAAACATTGTTACAGTACAGGTGTAACAGTGGGAACCCACAGTTTTACTCTCCCCGACATTGCTGCTACCTAGAGTACGATAAAACTAGTTGTAACCAATGAACACAATGGATAAATAATAACAGATCAGATCCGGTTTGCGAGGCGCCGTTAGCTAACAATCACCGAACTGGCGACCTGTTGCGCTGAAACCTGCATAGTTTACTGGACGGCCTTCTGCCACGCACCTTATAATATTCCGAGACATTACTACACTAATATACGTTTGAATAGCGAAATAAATTCTTTATCGCGATGAATAGGTAATTTTAATAATTCGTAGAATTAAATTAGTGTAGTCATTTTCAAAACAAAACATAGTTGATGTGTGTTGCATAGACCAGGAAGTCTAACCATGAATTTTCACTTCTGCAGTAAATATATAGTCATTGCTATTTTTAAAACCAATTACACTGAAGATTCAGTGCTGATAAATTGAAGACAAATTGTTAGTTGCTTATCACCCTATATAAGCATTTTATAGAAGAGCATACTGTATAATAACCAGGAAGAGAACTGAGCCTTGTGAAGCATGCCTTTATGCCAACTCTTGTAACTTTCCTTCAAAAGAGACATTGTACAAAATATATGAGCGAAGGCGTATTGTCAAAACTTTATGGACATACGATACTATGAGATTGCAACAAAAGTTGTAAGGAAGACTGATGTATTCATGGAGAACTAAAGTTGTGGTATTTGGACTTGTGAATTTGCAGATTGTTTAGTTCTAAGATTTGTTACAACATTGCGCGTTACAAAAACACTATTTGTTGATTAAAAAAACATTTCTGTAGCGTTTTTACGTTAAGGAAGAACAAAATAGGGTCAGGCGTTTAAGCTACAGTACATTTTTGAAGTTCGTTATGGAATCACTTCGATGCGAATGCACTTTTTCTTAATCGGTAAGTCTTCGGAATGGAATTTATAACCAAATACGAATAATAATACCCATTGGCTCATTCGGGTAAAAATATAGGATGTGGAACTACTGGTTTTAATTAACTACTCTGTGGCGATAAGGGCATAGAGTAACTTGTCGGTCGTTTG